TATTTTGGGGCATTAGGGATGAGTTAGGCTGGAAAGGAGGGTATCTTTTCGAGGGGTGTCCCATACTGTGACAGCCGAGAAGAGGCGAAGTGGGGGTGGCGAGGAAAGAGAAGGAGACGTCTCCTGAGGGAGGTCGCGTGTGGAATCTATGTGGAAGAAGAACACTGTAGGGGAAGTGCCCCTTGGGCGAGGAAGGGTCCCGGGACGCCGCGAAGGGGCCTGATAGGGCCATCTGGGGACCTGAGGTGGCGACCGGTAGGGGCTTGCGCTCTGGGGCGGTCGCCTTCGAACACTTCTCCGTCCGTCCATTGCGGCGGTCGCCCTGGCTGCTGAATAAATGGTTTCGGAGTCAAAAGCATCTCATTGAAGACCTTGTCTCCGTCTGTAACTAACGGCTGGTGGAACTCTAAAGAGAGGGTGTCGCCTGGATGTGGCTGGAGACGTTGGAACCCACCGCGCCCTGGGTAGGGGAAAGATGCGCGGTGCAGGGTCCGTGGGTTCCTGGCTTTATGCTGCCGGATGAACAAACATTCCCTTTCCTAACTTAGCAGTCACAGAGCTATTTCCAAGAGTTGTTTTAATTTCCTGTGTGATATTCCCATTGGCCATTTAACACTGAACGTTCTGTTTTTGAATCAAAGGTAGTTGAAATTTCTTGTCAGTAAGTTTAACATTCTGTTCTTCTGCGTGATGAATTTTCTTTTGGAGATTTGAACTGAAGCCTATACGGAGGAAATGGTAAGATAAATGGAATTTGCATGAGATATGTGGGGTTCAAAATAATCCTGTGGCTGAAGTGGGGGGAAGTGGGTGGGTACCATACTATAATAGATACTCAGAAATGTTTTCTAAATCACTGATGAAGGAATTCACAATAATAAAGATAAAAAATCTACAATACCGTACCTTCACCCACTTCTCCCCACTTCAGCCACAACTGGGGTATGTTCAGTGATTGTTGGAAGCAGGTTGTTGAGTGCATAGGGGTTTATTGAACGATTCTACTTTTGCATTCTTTTTTTGGGGGGAAAAGTTTGAAAACTTTCCATAATAAAACGTAAATTCTACATTTTCTTTTTGTCCGTCCTTTGAGTTGAAGTATCTAGTAAATGGTATCACCACTTAAGGAGACCAGTACAACCGCTTTCTCTTTTAAGGTTTTGTAAAATAAAATCAGTAGCCTGTTATGCATTCAAGGAGAGAAAACCTTTGGCCAGGCTTATCCAAATACATTTACCTGAGTGAATTTAAACTTCTTTAAATAAAAGGGATATGGAAAGTGTAAAGCTGGCTTAGTTTAGCCATTAGCCAGAGATATGCCAGTATGTCAGCATTCAGTGAAATCGATGAGGCTAAATAACTGTTACCTTATGTTCTGCCATTTGCACTGACCAAGGTCACATCTCTTATAATGGCCATTGCATGCTCTAACGCTATGGTAGGATGACGTTTTACTCTGTCTCTTATTTAATTAGAAAACTGGATATTTTAAAGCCAAATTTTAACAGTTACTAAGATTACATTAAAAGTTTTTATAACTTAAATATTTCTAAAATTGTAGCCAAAAATTAAACATTATAACATCATAGCATTGTTAAGTCATCAAAATTAATCCTTTTTTCGTATAGGAAATCTATTGATTTAATTTTAAAAAGAATGTCATATCATGGACTGAATGCCGATTTATTCTGTTATTTCTTAGGCTTTTCAATTATACATCCTATTACTGTACTGAGGTGGACAGGGATTCTCTCAATAATGTAAAAACAGTAAGAACAATACATTGAGTTGATTTTCACATTATTTATGCTTCCTTTAAAAGAAGTGAACTGAATCCATTTAATGTAAGAATTGAAAATACGGAGGGTGGTACCAAAAACCAAGGTCAGGAAATGATTATTAACTATTTTAGGAAAAGTACATATTGCTAGCTCGTTTTCCTGCATAAGACCTGCAGTTTATTTATGGATTTAAATGTTGAAAATATACTAGTGTTTACAACATTGAAAGTGAATATTCTCCATTGTGACTTCTTGTTCTGAATACTTCATTTGATGGCTTTAAAAATTTTGTTGAACACTATTATCTGCGGCACATGGTGGTAGGCTTATGATTTGAAAACTATTATGTATAGGGGAATTTTAGGTATTGTGATGTCATAGAATATATCACCAGGATTGAAAAGACTGTTCATAAGTAGTTTTTAGGACTTTTTAAAAAGTAAGTACTCTTTCCTTGGTATTTTCCATGTATATTCTCAGATAACTTTTGTATACATACTTCTAGGCACATAGTAGGTACTCAGAAAATGTTTTCTAAATCATTGATTAAGGAATTCACAATAATAAAGGCAACAAAAAATCTACAATTCCTAACAAGGAGTGTCTGTTATAGATAATAGATTTTATTCTTTAAAGAAAATTATAAAGGTTGAAATATTTAGTAATTTTGTTTGTATATGGTCACTATTTTTAATGGCACCTTAACATTTTGTTTTTTTATTACAGTTATTTTTAAGGGAAATGAATAGAAATAATCCACTTTGAAGAAGCCATGGCAAAATCAAACACAAAACATAGACTTTGTTCTCGGGAATCTTCAGTATCTTCACTGCTGGCAAGCTGCAGCCTGAGTGGTAGTAATTCCTCTAATTCTGATGGCTCTTTTCACTATAAAGATAAGCTCTACAGATCTGCTTCTCAAGCTCTACAGGCTTATATTGATGATTTTGATTTAAGCCAAATGTACCCTGGTGCAAGCACTGGAAAAATTAACATTGATGAGGGTTTTACTAATATGCCACAGTTCAACTATAGTTACAAACCAAACAATGGTATGCTTTTGTTCTTTATGTTTTATTTATGTTCAGATGTTTTGAAGCATTTGATAGATGTACTGTAGTATTGTACAGCTTGACATTATTTTTGTTATTTTGGAGTAAAAATAACTATTATAGTATTGGGATCTGGGTGTTTTTGTAAAATGATTATATAATTCTGTTTGGAACAGTAATATTCACAAGATATTAAGAGTTTGTCCATAATAAAGCTTCCTTGAAGACAAGTTTGGAAAATGCAGTTGTTAATAAGTCAATTACTACTTTACTGAACACTTACAGAATGATCCTAGAATGGAAGAAGTTTGTATTCTGCACTTAGATGTGGTCAGTATATTCCAGAAGAAGGGAATTAGAACAGCTGTCCTCTCTGTAATCCATGCCACTGAAGGGTTTGTATGTGATAGAGCAAGTTATTTTTCCACCTAGTTTAATAGCATGTTTTTTTCTATGCTGCAGTCAGTATTGAGTGACCAATGTTACTGTGATTGTATTTGTGTATCAGTTAGGTCTAGATGAAAAAAGTTGAAGAAACAATAAATTAGAGAACAGGAAAATTCAGGAGGTTGGAGAGAAACATGTAGAAATTAAGTAACACAGATTGAAAAATCATGTGAGAAAGAAAGCATATCCTGTTTTATCAACCTATGCCTTTTATGCTTTTAAAGCTTTAGTGAGGATAAGGGGAAAGCAGAAAAATGACTCAAATTCTTAATTCTCATTTACTTACAAATATTGTAAAATATTTGTATATAATAAACAGAACTGTTCTTTGTTTTTCAGCTTTTGAAAACCTTGATCGCAAAAAGCACTCAAACTTCATATCCTATAAAAGACAGACTACTAATGACATAGACTCTATGAGCCTAACAACTGATGATCTTTTAAGACTCCCAGCAGATGGATCATTTTCTTTTACTTACGTTGGACCAAGTCACCGAACGAGGAAGAAAAACAAGAAATGCCATGGAAGACTGGGTTCATTGGACACTGAAAAGAATCCAAATTTTCAAGGACCCTCCACTCCCATGGACAAAGATAACTTAGTTACTCCTGTTGTATGCACAAATATAAATGGAAAGCAATTTGGTAGGCTGAAAAACCCAAAACTTACCAATAGGACTAATAATTGCAAGAAATCGTCTTTCCAGGACAGTTCAGAACACAATCTTGAAAAGAATTATCCAAGATGGCTCACTAGCCAGAAATCTGACCTTAATGTTTCAGGGATAACCAGTATACCTGATTTCAAATACCCAGTCTGGCTCCACAATCAAGATTTGCTACCTGATACAAATAGTCAAAGGGTTTATAAAATATTTAGAGATGATCAGTGTCCCCCTAGACGTAGTCATCAGGCACAAGGAACTTCTCAGCTTGTTAATAAATTAGATTTTGAATATTCTTTTGAACCCTCAAAGTTTTCAAATTCCTTGAGTGATGATAAAGAATTAGTTAATGAATACAAATGTGATTTTGAACATAGCCAGTGTCAATGTGAGAATCCGCTTCTCCCAGGACAATCCACACAGCCGTTCAGTGGTAATACTTTGTTTATAGCTTACAGTTTTATTCTTTTTTTAAACCAAAAGAAGTGCTGTAAAGTTGAGGTAATATCTGGGAGCTTTTATGTTTTGTTTTTATTTAATCTTTTTAGAATGCTTATAATCTTCACAAGCATTTTGTAACTAGAAAATGTCTTTTCTCCCACTTTTTTCTTTGCTTGAAATGTCACATCTTTAATTTGCTGTTATAGATGAATATACATTCCAGATTATCAGAATTTTGACTTGTTTGTGAGATTTTCTTACGCTTTGCATTAACTTTTTTCTTCAAAGACTAATAGTCATCTTTTAAAATTAGGTGACAAAATTGAATTGCTTATCTTGAAGGCCAAGAGAAATCTAGAGCAGTGTACTAAAGAATTACCAAAGTCTATGAAAAAGGATGACAGTCCTTGCTCATTAGATAAACTTGAAGCAGAAAGATCATGGGAAAACATTCCTGTTACTTTGTAAGTAAGTGACAATGGAAAAACTGTTTAGTTTTCCAAGTGAAAAATGTCATGAATATCTGATTTATATTTAAATGAATGGTAATAATATTGTAATTCCATGGAACATAGCTTTGTGTTATTTGCTTTAAATTGCATTTTTCATTATTACCACAAGATGGTGTAATGTTTCATAACCTTAGGTATGTTATATAACATCTATCTTTGTTACATGTTCATTTTGTTTCATTATAAAGTATTGATAAGCATCTTAATATGAGGAATTAAAACCAGAAAAAATCATTTTGCAGAGTAGTATTATAAAATTTGTGTTATTTTCTTCTAACTTTAAGTTTTTCCTCTCCATATAATAGAGTTATAAATTTCTTATTTACATTTTACCTTCCCTTTTAGTTGTTTTCCTTAAATGATGATACTTTTTTTGTTTGTTTTTTACCAGAAATACATTATTGCTAACCCTATATCATGCCTTAGGCTCTGATAATTTATTATCTTTAGTTGTCTAAACTTTGATTTTGTTATAGACAGAGTCTATCAGTTCCTAGATTCGTTTTTTATTCTCAGTTGATTGTCTCTTTTCAGAATGTAGAGATTGACTATAATTCCAATTTAGAAGCCTACCTCTGCCACTTTCTTGCTGTATGGCTTTGTACAATTTACTTGATTTCTCTAAACTTTAAAGATGGAGAAATAATGTCTGCTTCAGGGTTGTTGTAAAGGTTATTTTCAACAGAAAATGAATGTGAAGTTTCTGAACTAAGATGAGCACTCATAAATTTTAGTAGTGGTGATGATTATCTAGAATATTTTATTTTCTCCTTTTAGCTTCATTTCTCCAGTTGTTTCAACAACATATATATTTAAACTTGAGTTGATAACAAGTTCACGTAATACTTAACTTCTCTTATTTTTCTTGTTTCCTAGTTGCTTATTTTATCACTTGTTTTGTGTGTTAATAAAGTATCATAGCTGCAATACTTTTCTTTTAATTGGAACCAAAATGGGCAAGCAAGTAGTATCAGAGGTGCTTAAATTTTTTGAATGCAATTAATATATTTTATAATTTTATAATGTAACTTCTAGCTTGTATGATTAGTATTATCAATAGATTGGCTCAGTACCTTACATATAATAATTCACTTTTGGAAGACTGAATTTATATTGTGATGGGCATATTTGTAGATAAAACTAGTGATGAATTGCTGACAAGGAATAGATCTCAGTTTGCGATTGACAAATTATTGTAAACCTGTCATCAAAAACAAAATTGAATAGAAAGTACTCAAGGCAGTATTCTAAGTGGTAGAGCAAAACCACAACCAGATCATTGCTTTTTCTAAAAAAACTTTTTATTATGGAAAAGCTAACATAAATTACAAAAGTGGAAAAATAGTATAATGAACCCCTATGTACCCTCCACCCATCTTTAACAATCTGGTAAATGTTTTTTAATAACAGACAGTGGATATACAAAGTATTGGCAAAGAATGGGGGAAAGGAGTACCTGATAGTATGAAAGGGCTTGTAAATTAGAAATCAAATATGTCAATAAAGAAGCATACTTGTTAAATAAAAACATTAGCATTGTGTAAATGTTAAAAAAAGATTCTTAGATATCTGAGTTCTTGAGTTACACACTTTATAGTAATATATGAATAAGAGAGAAATAGATTGAATTCATTTTTGTGACTTAATAGAATTTGATTCTGGGGACATTCTGGTTTTTGCTGGAGATACCCTTTCCTCTACTGTTCCTTGAATATGAGGAAATAAATGAGTATTTATTATCTATTAAATGTATTAGGTACATAGAAAATTAATTCAGTTAGTTTATGCAATGTGTCCATGAGATAGATGGGATGACAATTGTTGAAACTGAAATTCAGATAAATTACCTAAGGTCATACAGTGAATGGGACTAAGATTGCATGCAGGAATGTTAATTTCAGAATTCTTTTCTCAGAATAATCTGTCCTTTATGTTAATACCAGTTATAAAGGCGAAGTCTGTTCTGTTGCTTCAAGTAGGAGTTGTAACTGCCATTCTAGTTAAAACTTTTATGAGTTTGTGGGGTTTTTGGTTATTATCTGATAACAATGTTTAATTGGAAAAATGTACTCTTTATTTCAAACAAGGTGAGCTTTTGGAGCATAGTCTGTAGTTCAGGGCTTATTTAGCTGAATACTAATATCTTCAGTTTCTTCATAGTGTTTTCTCAAAGTTTGAAGAGAGAAGCAGAGGGATAAGGGGTTGGATTCTGGTATCAGTTTAGGGAGAAGATGAGGGAATTACCATACAACATTAATATTAATCACATCCATGATGATTATTTCTTGGTACCTACTTGTACGTAAATGAGAATTCTTAAATTGTATACTGTTTACTTTTTAGAAATTGGGAACTTAATTGCTATCTTGCATCCTTTAATTCCTCTTAAGCAAATCTCCTGTTCCTGTTAACTCTGATGATGGTCCTCAACAAACTTCAAGGGCAAAGAGTGCTAAAGGAGTTGTTGAAGACTTTCTAAATGATAATCAGGTGGGTGAAATTAAAAGTTTTAAAACTTATTAAAAGATTTATGAATAATATGTAGATATTCTTAAGTTACTTAGATAATTTAAAGCAAAAAAAGACTCAAATCATCTCCTCAAATACACATCATTCCTCTCAGAATTATTGATCATATTATTTTTTATAATATTTTAAATTTTTAAATTAACACATAATAACCATACATGTCTATGGGATACATGGTGATGTGATAAACCATGAATATATAGTGGTTATTTCTCCTATCTAGCTATAATTTTATATATAAAATTTTTTAAATATAAGATAATTTTTATATAATTTTTAATATATAACAATTTATAATTTATTTTTAATATATAAAAATTTATATAATTATATAAAATTTTAATATATAAAAAATTGTAGCTAGATAGTAGAAATAAGGAATTTTATTTCTCTTTCATTTCTGAAGGGAAAGAATTGGAAAGAAAGAAAAAAGATGAAAAAAAAAATAACAGGAATTGGAAATAAAATTATTATTATTAGACGACATGATGGTATATATGCAAAATCCAAAAGAATCTACAATAACAGAAATTTTTTATATTAAAATTGTACATAATTTTAATATATAAAAAAATTATAGCTAGATAGGAGAAATAAGTCCTAGTGTTTAGGACTTTCTCTCTCCCTATTCTTTACCTCCCTCCTACCTTTCCCAGTCTCCAGGAACCACTATTTTACTCTCTAGTTCTGTGAGATCAGCTAGTAAGCTTTCCCATATAAGTGAGAACTATGATATTTATCTTTCTGCACCTAGTTAATTTTACCTAACATAATGTCCTGCAGAATCATACATTTTGTCACACATGACAGGATTTCTTTCTTTTTGAAGACTGAATAATATACTGTTGTATATATGTGTTACATTTTCTTTACCCTTCTATCTGTTGATGGATACTTATGTTGAGTCTACATTTTGACTGTTGTGAATAATGCAGTGAACATGGATGTGCAGATATTTCTTTGACATATTGATTTCATTTCCTTTGGATATATACCCAGTAGTTGGATTGCTGGATCATATGGTAGTTCTATTTTATATTTAATTTTTTGAGGAATCTTCATACTGTTTTACTGTGTCTGGCTGTGTGTTGTGGCTCAAACCTGTAATACCAGCACTTTGGGTGGCCAGGGTTGGAGGATTATTTGAGTTCAGGAGTTAAAAAAAAAAAAGGTCCATAGTGAATAATACTAATTTATATTCAACAAGTGATTATTTCTTAAAGGTAAGTCGTAATATGAAATCTTAAACCATAATAACAACCCTCTTTGTCTCTTTCTACAGTTGTTGACTTAGTTTGATTTGTCTCATATAAGTAAAGTCACTCCACCTTGCTTTTGGTTGCCACTTGTATGGAGTATCTTTCTGCATCCATTCACTTTAAGTCTGTATGTATCATTAAAGGTGAATGGAGTTTCTTTGTAGGCAACATATAGTTGAACAATGTTATTTTTATCCATTCAGGAAGTTCATCTCAAATTTTAAGTAGGGAATTCAATTTGTTCACATTTAAGGTTAATATTGATAGGTGAGGATGTATTCCTGTCATTTTGTTTACTGTACTCTGGTCGTTTGTATGTTCTTTCTTCCCCTCATATTGTTTATCATTATGGTTTGGTAGTTTTCTGTAGTAGTGTTTGATTCTTTTCTTTTTCCTTTGCGTATCTGCTCTACCAGTAAGTTTTATATTTCCATGTGTTTTCATGATGGTTATTACCATCTTTTTGCTTCCAGATGTAGAATTCCACTGAGAATTTCTTGTAAGTCTCGTCTAGTAGTGGTGAATTCTGTTGGTTTTGGTTACATAAGAAAGTTTATTTCTCTTTCATTTCTGAAGGAAAGCTTTGCTGGATATAGTATCTTGGCTTGTGATTTATTTTGATATTCACACAGGGTCCTGGAAACAGTCTCCCAAGAAACCAGGGATGACTATATATTGGGCTCTCCTCATGTTCTGTTTGGTTGAAATCATTTTTTTTTGAATGTATGAAATGTCACTAAGGTTCTAAGAGTTGGAGATATGCAGAGATGTACCCAGAGACATTTATTAGGAGGTTTTACAATATTTTTTAAAACATTCATTAACATTGACACAGTTTATATGTTTTCTAGTTTTCTGTCTTCTTTGATACTCTGACTACTGCTTTGCATGAAAAGTCACTCAACTCAGACATAAATTCCAGAGGCAGCCTTTTATAACTATTATGGTTGCCCTAAGCAGCCGAAGTTCTAAAATAAAATAGTGGCTGGATGCCGATTATTTGGAGATTATGCTTCAGATACTATCTCCAAGGGTGTAGGAGTATATGCCTAACTGGATCCTTTTACCCTTTTTTTTTCCTTTTTAAAATGTTTTTATTTTGTTATGGTAAAATATACATAACATAAAATTTAAAATTTACCATTTTAATCATTTTTAAGTGTGTAGTTCTGTGGCATTGAGTACCTTCACTTTGTGTGTAGCTACCACCATAGTCCATTTTCCAAACTTTTTTATCTTCTCAAACTGAAACTTTGTACTCATTAAACTCTAACTCCCTATTTCCCCCCTCCTCAGCCCCTGACAAATAGCTTTTCACTTTCTGCCCCTATGGAGTTGTTACTATAGGAACCTTGTGGAAGAAGAATCGTTATATATGTACCTTGTTTGTGACCGGCTTACTCTGGTTAGCATATTATCTTTAAAGATCATCTATGTTATAGCATTAGTCAAAATTTCCTTTATTTTTTAGACTGAATAATGTTCCATTGTATGTATGTACTACATTTTGTTTATTCATTCATCCGTTGTTGAACTCTTGGGCTGTGTCCATCTTTTGGCTATTGTGAATAATTTTCTGTAAATATGGGTATACAAATATCTACCCGAGTCCCTGCTTTCACTTCTTTTGGATATATACCTAGAAGGGAAATTGCAGGATCATTCAGTAATTCTGTGTTTAATTTCTTACGGAATTCCTGTCCTGTTTTCCACAATGGCTATAGCATTTTACCTTTTCACTCCCTGTTTCTTATATCCTGTTCATATAACTATGGAAATGTCTTTAAAATCTTTTTAGCCACACTGCTTACCTTGAGTATCTTATGCTAATCAACAACTTTCTATAGAATTGAAGTTTAAGTCGTACTTATGGTGCACAGTCTATGCTGAAATATGTTAAATTACAGACATCTGTAGAGGCCTATTTGCTACTTGGTAGATAAGTTATTTGGGCACAGAAACTCATTTGAAAGATGTAAAATAATAGACTGGTAAGACTTTTAAAAAGAAATTTTAAGTATCCCTTACTTATTATCTTAAAAGAATCCTGACCACCTTATGTGTCTTAAGTACTGTTGCATCCTTTGAACACAAATAAGGTCAGCGGTAATCAAGCTATGAGTGTTATTGAGGTAGAAGGAATGTATGTCCCATGAAGGGGTGAAAAGCTAGCATTCTGTACATGAAAACATATTTGAAAGTGTGCAGAGGTTACTATATTTGAAATTCTAGTCCCTGACAAACTGGAAAGAACATGTTGGTTTATCTGTCCTCTGAAGACCTTTTCAGTTCTAAAAATTTGTGATTTTACATGTACTAAATGAATTTGTCATTAATATAAATTTGTGCTATTTATTTTAAAAGAGCAATGACTAGAAAGGATATGCCAAACTGTTAATCGTGATTGTCTCTAAGTAACTTCACCTGGGGCCTGGGAATGGGGAAGTGGTGAATTACAATTTTGATTTTTTAAAATACTTTATTGACATGTATTGTTTGGATTTTTACATTAATTTTCTATTATGGGAAAATAATGCAAAATAAAACTCTTCTTCCCCTGAGTTTGGTTGATTAACTTTATACTATCGTCTGTTTAACCTTAGAGTTGTACTCTTTCTGGAGGCAAACATCATGGTCCTGTTGAAGCCCTGAAACAAATGTTATTTAATCTTCAAGCAGTACAAGAAAGTTTTAATCAAAATAAGACCACAGAGCCAAAAGAAGAGATTAAACAAGTAAGCACAAACATAATTTATGAATTGAGATTTGTGAATTTGTATAAGATTTTTACATCTTTTTATAGACATAGTTTTATGTTAGTAAGCATGTGATATAACACATGTTGTAAGTGGCAGTAGTCTTCTTTTTTTTAGGAAGTCATTTGCTCACATTTAATTCTGTTAGATTTCTATAGGTGTTTGTCTCTAAATAGAATTTTCTATTTAACTTATGGTTATAAATCCAACATCTTAGTTATGATGATGTTACAACTATAGTATGAAAGGGCTGTAAGAGTAGTTTTTTAATGATCTACAAAATTAATCTATATGACCCATCTACTGGTAGTTATATTTGGGGAGGCCTA